GCCTGGGCTGTGAGACAGTGGGCACAGCCAGCACTGAGCTGGTTGAAGATGGGCAGTGCCCGCCCCCCTGGGCTCTGGTCTGGGACAAGGTGCGAAGTGAGCTGGCAGAGCTGCCAGGAGGCAGGAAAGCAGGGCCAGGGCTTGCAGCAGGAGTGATGGGCAGTGTGTGACCATGGTCACCCCCGCCACCTTTCCCTGGACCAGCTGGTGGCACAGCACAGACACATGTGGGCAGGCAGGTTTCTGCCTACAATGCACAGGAATCAGCTGGAGGAGGAGGGGGAGCACAGCCTGAGCAGGGGGTGACTGAGCACCAGGGAGGTAAGAGGTGGAGGTAGGCAAGGAGCCCCAGCATCCACTCTTCCCAGTGCCAGAAGCAGCAGGACTGTGGGTACCAAGGGATGGGTAGGAGGGGAACGGGGCTGAGGGTAGCAGTGCCCAGTGCCAGCAGACCCTGGGGGGCATGGGTCACCCATCCCAGCCCCCCCAGCGGGGCAGCCCACCCGGGGCTGTGCTGAGGGCTGCGTCTCCGCAGGACACTGGTGGACTGCGTGCCCCTGGTGGAGGTGGAAGATATGATGATCATGGGGAAGAAGCCGGACTCCAAGTGTGTCTTCACCTACGTGCAGTCCCTCTACAACCACCTGCGTCGCCACGAGTTGCGCATGCAGCAGAAACAGTGCTAGAGCCTGCGCCCCACCACCCTGCTGCCCCCTGCCCTCAGGGCTGCTGGCAGGCAGGGGAGCTGCGTGTCCCAGCAGAGTGCGGGGGGGGGCCACAGGACCGGCACAGGGGACATGGGGCTCTCGTACCAGTGCAACCCCAAGCCTCTGCCTTGCTGGAGCTCCCTCTGCCCCAGCCAGCTGTGGGCTGAGCCCGTGGGCAGGGTAAGGCAGGTCAGGCAGGCACTGCCAGGGCTGCTCCCCAGCTCGGCTCGCCTCCCATGCTCCAGTGTGTTATTTGTTCGCCAGGAGTTGCTTGTCCTGTGGGCAGCACCCCTCCATCTCCGGGGAGGTGTGGGCAGGGCTGTGCCCTTGGGCCTGGGGCTGGTAGGGGTCAGCAGCTGAGGAGGGTTGTGCAGCCCAGGCCGGGTCACAGTGCATTCCACAGGTGCTGTGCCTGGGAGCGGTTTTCTTTGGCCCCCTGTGAGGAAGCCCCTCTGCCCACCGCAGGCCCCACTTGGTGCCACCTCCATGGGGATGGCTCCGTGGACCTATGCTGACACCCTGCTTCCCACAACGCACGTGCACCCTGGGGCACTTTCACACCAGGGAGCCGCAGCACCTGTGTGCTGGGGAGTGGGCAGGGAGGCAAGGGGTCCTGGGGGAGCAAGGGGCCCAAGGAGTGAGCTGGGACAGCAGCCCCCCTCTCCTCCCAGCGCGGGGCACTACGTGCTCAGTGCCACTCACCCCTCCATCACCATCTCTACACCCGCGTTGACACATGTACCAACACCAGCCAGACAATAAAGGTTTATTCTATAGGGTGATGCCTCTGCCTCCGGTCCTTCTCCCTGGCCACACTGCTGCTCTGTGCCACCAGAGCAGTACACGCTGCAGTGCCTGGGGGGAGTGCCAGCAGCCCTGCCTGTTCCTGGACCCCTCTGCCTGCAGGCCCACTGCTCACTCACCCTGGGGGGAGATGCAGGGCACGTGCTGCTCCTCCTCCTCAGGGACAATACCTGGAGCCAGGGGGGACCATCAGCATCCCACCCTGACCAAGGGCTGTTGGTTCACTGCCCCCCACCACCCCCAGGCCTGATACAGGAAGAAGACCCCACGCTGCCACCAAGGCTGCGCAAAGCCAGGACTGCAGACAGCGCAGCTGCACCCTGCTCCCTTCCCTGGCCAAGGACCAGATGGCCCTAGTGGGCCAGTGCAGCCATCAGGCTTCAGCTCAGCAGTGCAAGACCCACTGGTGGGTTCACACCTCCCATCCGTGCGCCCTGTGAGAGCAGCTTATCCCAAGCCATGGTGCCCCATCCATCCATCCATCATGCTGGGGAGGGGGTGGCACAGGAACAGCATGGTTGGTCTGTGGGATGGTTTGTTGGCTTGCCAGCAGTGGTTGTGAGCCTGCTGTCCCTTCCCACCTCTCCAAACAGCTCTGGGGCACCCAGATCCTCCTGGCCCACAGTACAGACCCGTGGGGGATGCACCTCCACTAAGCCCTCCCTGGAAAGATGACACAGTGCAGCCGATTGTCCACAAGGGCTTTACTGAGGGCTTGATATGAGACAAGCCTGCTGGAGTGCCCCCCTGGGGGCAGCTCTCCCACCTCTGGGACTCAGCACATCTACCCTCAGCACCTGGGGCTTTCTGCTGAGGGTTTCATCCTGTCCCATGCAGGTAGGATACCACCACCCAGTGCAAGTAGTCAGCTAAACCTTGAGGCATGGTGAGGGAGCATAAAGACTGCTGCTCTTCCCAGCCAGCTGGGGATGCCAGGCTGCAAGGCAGTGAGGGCAAAGACAGGCACACGGGACTCCTGGGATGTCCACAATGCCCAGGAAGCCCCTGCTCAAGGCTGGAACTGCTCAGGGCATCCTCAGGCAGAGGCTGAGCAGAGCACCAAGCAACAGCAGGGGCACCTTCACCACCCTGTGGCACCATCCCCAGCTGCTGTAATGCCCTCATCCCCGCACACTGGGGACTGTCTGCAGGACCTTCTCCTGAGCATGGCACCCCTCACTAGAGGTCTGGGTGTTCTTCCTTGTCATGTTCCTGTAGGGTCTTGCCATCAGTGGTGGAAGTTTGGTGGGGCGGCAGGGTGGGCAGAGGCCTGGCAGGGGCAAACTGGAACTCTTCAGGCACAGGGGCATCAGGCATCTCCTTGCGGTAGAAGCCCAGCTCCTGCACCAGCTGGTTGATCTCTTCCCGGGTCATGTCACTCAGGGGGATTCTCTGCATGCAGACAGGGATTGCAGCCTGGCACCTGTGGAGCACCAGCCACCCCAGATCCTGCTGCAGCGGTGAGTGCCATGCTGCCTGCTCACCTCCAGCTCCTCGTATCGGTGGCTGAGGAGCACAAGCTCAGGGTCAGCACCGGGCAGGTGCTTCATCTCCAGATTATGGCTGGGTGGTATGTTAAGGAGGCAACAGTACTGGGCAGGACCATGCAGCCCCCCATCCTATCCCATCCTCTGTCAAAGGTCACTCCCTCCCATCTTACCACATCCCATCCCGTTCTGTCCCCCATCCCAACACAACTCATCCTCCATTGCATCCTGTCCCATCCCATCTCATTCTCCATCACATCCCAATCTGCCCCATC